GAATGTTATGAGACACTAAAAAAGGAAGGATAAAAATGAAACTGTTGCACAAGTTTACCTGTGATAGCTTTCTACTGCTGTAGCTAAAGGGAATGGTGAAGATCATGCAATGAACTGAATTTGTGAGACCAGCCTTAGCTGACACAAGGGGGGAAAAAAACCCAAAAAACCAAACACATACTACATTTTATCTTTTTCCTATTTTATGTGGACTTTCCCCCAACTTAATAATGGTCACAGAGGTGCAAGATGAATAAAATTTGTTTGGGGGATAGTAGGAAGCTTATGATTCAGTATCTCAAAGCAAATACTGAAAAAGATAGCACTGGAAATGATCATTGTTGCTTTTTGGAAAGCTAGGAATGCCCCCTTCCTCCAGGATAAAGGTCAAGTGTCTAGCAGCCTGAGATTAGGCACGATTGAGAGAGTAGAACACTAGAAATGTCTAAATACTCTTTCAAATGGTATCATTAGAATTTTTCTCCCCTTCAGAAGCCTGTAGAGCAGGGATCACTATACTCAGGCAGCTGTTGGACTTGGCAGACCAAAAGATATAAAGCAAAAGCCACATTAACACATTTTTTAAAAATCTCTAAGTTTCTTAGAGAAAGCTTTTTCTGCAAAATGGACAGCCCTGCGATGATGCAGGAGGAGGGAAAGGTTTGATACATATTTTTGGGGGAGGGCCAAAGAGTAATCAATGCACACAGAGGTTTATGCCAGAGCATTTTTTTGCAGTTAATTCTGGCTGAGGACAGGCAGGTGGTGGATTTCTTTGCCTCACACAGGACTGGCTGCTGAAAGGTTTCTATTCCCCTTGCACACTGGCTGCTGACATTGTAGCTTAAAATAAATCATTATGAAAACTGTGCGAAGAGCAAGGTAGTGAAGGATTTTGCCAGAAAGGGCCTTACTGAACATTCAGACACACACAATACTTTGGAGATTTAGGAAAGAACTCATTGGCACAGTGATTGAAATCCAACTAGGCGGGCCAAATAAATATCAGATGCTCTCGAGGGCTTGCTTTCACCCCTACCCACTGTATCTGAACCATATAAATGAACAGAATTGACACAGGAATGCTTGTGTTTGGGGAAGGAGCAATGTGTTTCCCACTCTTGGGACATTTTTTTCATTCTGTTTGTATGCACATGGATATGCTAGACATACCAGTTCCTCAACAGATCACAGGGCATTCCACTTAACTGCAGAAAAACAGGACTTCTAGCCCAAACCCTGCTTGAGGCAGGAACATCCTTCTTTAATCCATCCCAACCAAGTAGTCCTAAGTGTTTAGTCACCAAGGTGATATCCTAGGTATAAATACTAAATTAAGAGAGAGACTCTTGCAAGACTCCATGATGAAAATAATAAGACACAAGCCGTAACCCTCAGAAATATATATGTTGAACTATTAAAGATGACACTGTTTCCCTTCCACATATCAGAAGTAAAAGACTGCATGGTGGCCCTCCAATAAAGGTATGCTAGCATAACAGTCCTATATACCATATTTACTGAAATACACAGTGAAGTTTTTCCTCATTCCAACTCATAGATTTGGAATTGATTTGGCCGATTTGACTTGGATCATGAAAAATTTTCCTTAAAAAGAAAAAATATGTAAAGTACGTACAAAAGTGCTGCTTAAGTGTGTTTATGGAGAACCTGTGCTAAAACTTGCAACAATTTCAAAAAAAATGTAACATGCTTCAACTCTGGATAAACTAAGTCTATGGGTACCAGTAGTAATTTGCATATGTCCATTTCAAGGTCAGTGTTTTCAAATTTGTCCCTCACTTCCATGTGCCCAGGGAGAGCAGGGTCTGACAGTAAGGAGGGTGGGGGGGAAGAAGTTGGGAGGGCATGGGGTAAAGGGGCTTCCTGAGCCCCCCAGATCTATTTTCCCTGGTGGAACAGTGGGAAGGGAAATAAAATGCAAGCAAACCTCCAATAATTAGATTCTATACTTGGAAAATTATAATAAATTTATTAGAGGTGCACCGATATAAATCTGTCCATATTGTATTGCCACCAATAAAAGGAAAATTTACATTATCAGCAATTGGCTTTTTTTGGTTGATGTGGCCAATGTCACTGATAAATGCCACATGCATGTGCACAGCCACAGCACGCACACAGCCAGGAATGCAGCCCAGCAGCTTGGAGAGCAGCGTCCAACACGTAAGTCTGTGGGACGGAAGGGGCACGAGGGGGCAGACAGAGGCCCCCACAGTGAGGGAGGGAGTGAGGCTGGGGCAGGGGCTGACGCTGTCCTTCTGGGGTGGGGTGGGGCACGGGACGGAGCTGCGGGCAGCTTGTCTGGGGAATTGGGGGTGGGGGGGGCTCCCACCGCTGCGTGCACCCTTGTGGGAGGCATGGGGGAACGTGTGCCCTCAGGATCTGTGCACAGAACAAGGGTGTGCTGCCCGCTGTGGGCTGGGGCGGGGGGCTGCGCCAGCCTCTTCCCAGTGGGGAGGGCGGGAGGGGAGCTGGGCCAGGGCTGTGCTTGGGGCAGGTGGCAGCGGTAGCACTGGGAGTTACAGTAAATTTTGGGGTGGCTATAGCCACCCCTGTTGCCCCCCACTCCCAGTGCCACCACCTGCCCCACCCCACCCAGCCCAGCCCCACACCAGGAAGAGTCTGATGCAGCCTCTGGCCCTCACCCCATGCACAGATCCGGGAGGCACATGCCCCCTGTACCTCCCCCAGGGTGTGCGCAGTGGCGGGAGCCACCATCCCCCTCCATGCCTCCTGGCTGAGCTGCCCGGCTTTGTCTGTGTCCCACTCCACCCCGGCTGTGCAGTGCCTGCCTATGCCCCAGCCCCATTCCCTCCCTCACTGTGGGGGCCTCAATCTGCACCCCCACTCCCCTTCCCTCCCCCACGCCCTTTTCTCCCCCAAACAGACTTACCAGTTGGACACTGCTCTCCAAGCTGCTGGGCTGCATATTGGAATTGGATCAGTATCAGCTGATATGGCTGGTTAATAATCGGTATTAGCCCCAAAAATATTAGTGCACCCCTAAAATGTATACATTTTCCATATATAGAATTTAATTATTGGGGGGTCATCTTATATTCAAGTGAATACAGTAACACACACACACACATCTTTTGTGTGCACACCTCTAAACACTCCGACACGTCCACCTCTGCTGGAATTAAACACCCTGGTGTAATCCCACAGATCATAACCAAGCCAACAATAGTAATCTTTTGCTTTTCTATAAACACCTTTTATGCCAAGGCCTTGCCAACATTAGTACCTTAAATTTGCACAACATTCCTGAGAACGAGGTCAGAGTTCTCCCATTTCATAAATGGAAAAGGCCCTGCTTTTTACCCATGGCAAGTTGGAGGGTGGTCTCGATGTTACAGACATTGCTCCTTATAGCTGTGGGTGGCGGTTTTAAGTGGTGATTTGGAAGATTCCTTTGGTTTGTGATTGCCTGTGAATATAGAGGTCCGTACTCAAGAGCCCAGGAGACCCCTTCCATCCCCACGTTCCTTAGGCCCTTGGCAGATACTACACTTAAAACATGATTAGGTTGTTACTCACGTCTTAAATAGTAACCCAGCCATATGTTCAGGCAATTAATGGCACCACAAAAAAGGGGAAACCGGCCAAAAATTTTCACACAAAAAATGTGTAATTTTGGGGGGGTTGGTTTCTATAGCATGTTAAATTGAACATGTGGCAGGGCTAGGCCTGCACTGGGGCTTGGATTAGCCCTTGTGTGGTCCATGCCAGCCGATAATCAACTGATCATCAGTGGCTCCAGGGATATCAGTGGGGCCACTGCAAGACAGCCAACAATCACTGATTGTCAAACACCTGGCTTTCAACTTGCTGGCACCAGGGAACCCTCTGATTGTGACTTCGGGTCCTTTCTGAGCTGGGAAATAGGTACGACTGGGATCTAATCCCTGAACTCAAAACTGAGGCATGGCAGGAGGTGTGACTGTTGGGACTCGGGGATCAGATTCACCATGCCTTTAAATGAACGTCTGTCAGTGGCCTAAGAGACTTGCTTGAACTCTTGCAGAGAATCTGTAGCACAGCTGGAAATGGCCAAGCCCGACAGGTCACAACTCAGGAATCAGAACCCAAATGCTCATTTAGAAAACAAACAAAAAACTTTTTAGAAGGACTATACTGTATTTTCTGAACTCCCATCTGCCCCAACACTTGTGCAGCTGTTACAGCATTGCCAGCTTTCCCCAGCGTACAGACCACTATTGATTCAGACCAAGCTGCAGGAGACTGCTGGCTGCATGATGCTGCAGGTTCCTCCAGCTTCTCCATGAAGCCTGAAATGTCCTCTTGGCTCTTAAGCAGGTAAGAAGGAGCTCTGCCTAACTCCTGCTGCAGGTTTCACTGGCTGTGGATAGGCCAGGAAGAAAAGCAGGCATGCAATCAAAGAGGGATTCATTCCCAGGCAAGGTGAAATGTGCAAGACATTTCTCCCCTCATTGCCACACTTGCTCCAGCCTCAACTAAAATCACCAGACACCACAACACTGAGAAGACAAGAATGCAGATTCCCACTCCCCTGTTGTAGCTGCTGGGCTATGGCACCTCCCTAAGCTTGTGTGAATGTTACTATGCCTCTCTTCATGCACCAAGGGACAAAACAAATAAGGAACTTCCTGGTGTTCAGCTCTCATTTCACATGGCTGGTGGGATGTGCTAATCTTTGTAGTGAGACAGCTTCCAGGGCACAAGTGGTTGGAGTTACCATGCAGAATACAGTAGATTTGCACCTTGTAGATTAACTAGAGAGAGGTATATAGCATAAAGCTTCATGAGCTGGAGCTAACCTCATCAGATGGTGTGAAAATACAGAGTTTGGCATTGTGGCACTGGTTTCTCAAGCCCCAATCCAACAGTTAGACTGACCACAGGTCGGAGCAAGAACCCTCCCCCATCCCACACACATTCAGGTGTCTACAGATATCCTGGTTGCGATAAGCTTGAATGCTCTCCAGACTCACCTTCCACCCCCAGCAGGTGCTGCTGAGTTAATGGCCTGTACCATGTCTGTAGTGAGTGCATCCAGTAAGCTGGTAATAAATTCTACTTTCTTTCCTTCTGGACAGCCTGTACAAAGGAAACAGGAAGTTTAATTTAGGAACAGAGAATCAGTCTCCTATCCTGATTCAGAGAGGATAAGGTACAATCCATGTTTGTAAGGTTTAATACAGCACTCCATCATCGTAACTCAAACCTCTCCAAGCAGAAGAATCCATGAGCAGCTTCTCAAATCAAGTCTTTGTCCACGAGCTTTTTGTAAAAGAAAAAGCAGAAGATCACTACTATCTTGCATGGTTACTTGAGTGCTTTAGACTTCTTTCATGACAACTGAGGTGCAGATTCTCAGAAGTGCTCAGCATCCAGCAACTCCCACTGTAACAATCATGGCTAATCTTTCAGAAAAACAACACCCAATATGCTACATTTCTCTGAAAACCTGGCCACTGATGTTCATGTCTAAATGGAAAGCTAATTCTTTTGAAAAGATGGCCCATAATGATCATTATGGCCAGATCTCCAGGCCACATGTACCCTCTCTTCGTGATACAGTTACAATGCCTGCCAGTAACTAAAAGAACAGTCTAGGGCAGTGGTTACCAAACTTTTTTGGACTAAGAGACCATCATCAACCCTCAAAATTTCTTGTGAACCCTTATCATGAAATTTTAATTGAAAAGGAAAGAGATCAGGGAAGTGTGATCTGTGGACAATTTACCTGCACCCCATAGACTACCAGTGGTCTGCAGACCGTAGTTTGGGTACTACTGGTGTACGGATACAGCATTTGTTGAGCAGCGCTTCCTGTGGAGGTAGCACTTGAGAAATGTCTGATATTGAGAACTTTGGAGACAGAACCCTTGTCTCTACCCACAGGATGGGGGCAAACAGGCAAGCTGCACAAACTTCTGTAGCGCTAACCCACCCACGTGCTTCAGCTCTTCTCCAGACATCATTCAGGGGAACAAGGAATCAAGTCTCCATGGTCCTTCAGCTGGCCTTGCTAAAGAGATGGGGGACTAGTGCCAAATCCAAGGATGATTTTGTGATGTGTTTTGAGAACTGAACTTTGTCTGCCATGAACCAGCTGCATACAGGAACTACAAACAACTACTAAAAGGCACTACCTTCAGCTGCTGCAGGCCCAGGCAGATTTAACGTGGGGATCTAACGATGAATGACCTATATATTAGGGCTGCGCAAAATTTCGGTGGCCGTTTCGTTTACTTTCAGATTCAGACGTTTCAATGGTTGAGACACCAAATCCAAAATGAAACGCAGGGTTCTGAAACAAAACGGGCCATCCAAAACATTTTGGAAATTTTCCATAATGGTTTCGGATGTTTCTGATATTTCGGAGCAGTTTCAGAGGCGGGCTTGCAGGCAAAGGGACGGGGGAAGGACTGCTCTGATACTGACATCTGTAACTGGCCAGTGACAACAATATGTCCCTGAGGTCCCTTTCAACCCCAGTGCTGGGGGGGTCAAACCAGGGGCTGCGGAGTCAAACTGGGAGCTGCGGAAATGTTCAGGTCCCTGAACATTCCCCCAGTTCCTGGTTCAATTCCCCAGCTCTCTGATAGTTTCCCCCAGCTCTTCCCTGGGGAGTGCAGGCCCCTGGATGATGCAGGATGACAGCAAGCTGCCGCTGCCAGCTGGTGATGGCGGTGGCTCTGGGCTATTTCCCCAGTCAGCAGCAGCAGCCTGCTGAAACCCTGAGCAGATCCGGGGCCTGTGCCCCCCAGGAAGAGCTGGGAGAATGATCAGAGAGCTGGGGATCAAACTGGGAGGTCTGGCTGACTGCTGGAGCTGCCCCAGGTCCCAGACAGTGCACGAATCACTGTCCCTCCAAAACATCGAATCCGAAACTAAATGAAACACAGCCATTTCAGACAGCCCTACTATATGCACTTCCATTACTGGGTTCCTGAGCCATCCAGTAGATATTTTAACTGACTAAGTTGCTTTTTGAACAGTGTTGTCCCTGAGGTAGTAAGTTTAAAAATTACAAATGAGGAAGTTCTCTTTCACACAGCGTGCAAGTAAAGCATGGAATTCAATGCCACAGGCTATTGAAGTTAACAGTTTAACCAGGTTCAAAAGGGATTGGACAAATTCTTGGAGGGAAGGGGCACCAGCAGCTTTTGAACATGGGATTTTGGGGTACAGCCTCAGAATCAGAACTTCTTAGACCGTGAATGCTGGAGGCTGCAAGTGGGAGAGGAATTGTGGAAAAAGCCCTGGTCATACCCTGTTCACTCATCTTTTCAGCATCCTGTGCCACTGTGTGACATGGGATACTGGGTAAGATGGACCTATGGTCTGACCTAGTAAATAGCAATTCTTATGTTCTTGTGGGGTCTGGCCAAAGAGGTAAATCTCCATTCCCTGCTGTGGACTAGGTGACCTAGGCAGCTTCCTCAACACTCTTTTATTCTCCTGACCATCTAAGTTCCCTCGTGTGCAAAGAGGAAGTGAGCAATATAAATACTCAATTTAATTCCACAATATTGTAACAGTGATTTTTAACCCACTTAAGAGGCACATGGATTCTCAGCTAGTCCCACCTACCTCCAGAACCACCTGTGTTTTTTTCCTGAACACCTTTTGTTTCCCACTATCTCTCTTATTTCCCATCTCACTAGGTGATCGTTCTGATGGTCAGGAATTGCCACTAAACCACCTTCTCCCCTCCGTGCCCAAACCAACCATTTACAACTGATTGCTGGCATGATTAAGGTAATTGGTGCCAGGAGGGCAGCCTACCCTTAGCAATGAGCACCAGCATCAACACTTTCTGCCTTTCCCAGACAAACAGACAGGCACACACCCCCTCAGGGCAGAGGTCCAGAAACTTACCACAATCCCCTTGACAGCTGAAAGTGACTTGCAAATTATTATGACAAAATCCTCTCCTTTGCAGAAATACAGGCACAGTTTCCTGCAATATCCAACCTAGAGGGAGCAGTCACTTGGCCTGTCTCTGTACTATGTGTATTGCACACATGCATGCCCCTCTGTACTTGTTTGGCACGCAGTCCAGAAAATGTCAGCATTGTAAAGGGTAAGCTGCTGTTGCAGCCAGGGTACACCACTCACTTAAAAGAGCTTTTTGTTGCAGTAATGAGAAGGTTGAAAAAAAACATTTGCTAGAAGTCATCTCCCAGGGGTCTCAGCATCCCGCCGTCTGCTGGAGTTAGCAGCTTGCTATTCGCTGTGTGCAAGCAACACTTTCCTTCCTTCTTCCTCCTGGCTCTTCTGGAAGCTGCCATGGCAGTTTGTCTAGAGGGATTTGTGCATACGTCTCTCTCACCTTGGCATCTGAAGGGTTGTTTATCTCAGGGCAGGGAGGAAAATGCCAGCAGTAATGAAGATTTGGAAGGATGAAGGGCCCCTTGGACAATCTAAATGAAAAAGGGCACTCTCTCGGGCAATTGAGAGTAATTGAGAGGTGGGAGGGGGGGAAAATAGTTTTCCATCTGGGTTGAGGTTCTTATCCAGCTGGGAGTAGCAAGCAGGAATAGGAAGGTAACAGGGAATACTGTATGGATCTCCTATCTCTTCTGCGCTCCTGTTGTTTGGATCACTAGTGGCCCATCATATCCAAGCCCGGCCAATTCACAGATGTTTAAAGCCTCCAGGCTGAATCAGAGGGAGTTGGTCACAAGAGAACGAGAACTATAAGTTCTCAGACAGTCAGCAGCTGGAGCCAGTCTCCTGAGCAGCAGGGACAGTAACCATTGGCCCTCTGTGGCAGCCGTCTAGTATAGGTCAGGAGGAAGGAGGGGTGAACAGTGGAGGAAGCACATCAGCACAATCTGCAGCTGGAATCAGCTCTCTGCCACACTGTGCAGTATCCTCCCTAGTAGTGCAGATTCTGCTCCCTGTTCAGCTGCACTGCACACTCAGACACTACCTCCCAGGACAAGGACCAGCAGTTGCACTTGGAAGGATGGGGAAGACAGAGGAAGGGGAAGTCTTTTTCTTCCTCCAAGATCAGAGAGAGGGACCCAGGGAGGGAGCCCAGGTTGGTAGGGAGAAAGAGTGCAGAGGTTAAGGCCGCTATATTTATTATTGAAAGAACGTGTAGGAGGATGAGGCAGGCCCCCAGGTACTGGACTCTTCATAGATACCAGCCTGATCCACTGCCTCCAGCCTGTTTGCTCAGATGGGAGGGAGAACAAGGATTGGTCCCTGAGGAACTAGGCACCAACTCTGCTCCTTAGAAGGAGCAGGGGAGAAGGGCAGAAACCAGAGCATCAGCAGCTGGAGACTCACTCTCACTCCAGCACAGCAGCTTTCATCCCCTGATCTCAAATGGGAGGGTGCCATTTTACTCATACTCCTTCCCCAAAAGGTTATATTCAATTGTCATCCTCTTGTCAAAGTGGGGGCATTCTGGGTGTAAACTGTTATGGATTAAGCTAAAACTAGTTGAAATTGGTGGTTATAACAACTGCCCTCATCTGGGAAAACATATAAAAGAACACTTGAGATCTTTTTGGAACCAGATAGCTGAAATTACGGTAGCCTCCATCCAAAACACAGGCACACATCACCACCTAAAACAAAAGCACATTTGGCCAGAGGTAGTTCTTTGGGTATAGTTTCAACATAAGTGTGTGAGGACAGAAGTAAACCACCACAAAAAACAATGACAGAGGAGGAATGGAAAAGCCAGTGTCTTATCCAAACAAGCAGTTGACCTCAGAAAAATCCAGAGAAAGCACCAGGAAGTATCAGCAGCAGGTAGGTCTCCTCTTTGATTCCTTGTTCAGGAAAGCAGGGACTTTTTGGTAAATAAACAGATTTGGCAGAGACACATGGCTCCAATCAACAATTTCTCCTCTGAACAGAAACAACTTGCAAGACCCCAGCTTTTGGCTAGTCACTTGAGTCCAAAAGAAAAGGTAGTAGTGGAGATGTGAAGTTCTAAGATTAAGTGGCCAGGAGCAACTTCAGACCAAGCCAAGCCAAGGAGAAAGCAATAACGAGGGGAAACAAGAGTCCCAGCTAAGCTATTCTGAACAGCCAGCTTTGGTCAAGGGTTGGGGTTGGCATTCTTTGTTTGCATTAGTAGGGTCATCTGCTATGTGCCAGTTATGCCCCCCAAGTAGCCAAAAGACAAAATCTCAGTGCTGCAGCTGTGAAAAAGTGTCTATGACTAGAACGAAATGGGCCTGTCCTTGAAGTAGTTAAAAAAGAACTTTCTAGACCTTAGGCTCCACTGCTTCTCTGAGTCACTTTGGGAAGGCAATATCTTACCCTTTCACTACAATTTCTCTTTCACAGATTTTTCACAATGAGATTTTTCTTTTCCTACATGGCAGATATGTTTGGCAGGGATGGGCAGAAAGGTGGCAAGTCATCCCAGGGGAAATCTCATGGTTTTCCAGTCCCCACTGAAAACTGATATTGCCACTAAGCTTAATGGTAGTGGGAGAAGTGATCCTTCCATACAGAAAGCCAAACATTCTTCTGAAACAGATACTAAGAGAATAAGAGACCCAACATAATCAAAAACAAAACTCATGGTAAAAAGTGCCCACATGATGGTCTTGACCTGAAATTGTGTTGGGGTGGGGGGGTTGGGGAGAGGAGAGGAGAGACACTGACCTGGAAGCTCTCTGTCCTTAAATGGGTCATCAGCCTCTGTGCTCTTTGATCTGGCATCACTTTCACACACTGGGGTTTCATAGCTGGAAAAAGAAGAGGGCAGAGATCTTCAATCATTTTCAGTAGTTAGTGAACTTTGCAGTTTTACGTTATCAGCTCAGTGTAGAGGAAACAAAAAGAACCAAGAATCTGCATGAGAAAATTTCAGACTGCACGAAGACAAAGAAGATCGTAATAAGAAGACATGAGCACCTGCACCTACAGGAATTAACATTAATGTGACCTTGCCTTCTATCAACATCTCCTTCTCTTTGCTTGTCAAAGTGGTGGCAAGGCTGGGTATCTTAATGAACTGTTCACCACCAATGACTGTCTAGACAATAAAAGTAGTCAGGAAAAACCTTATGAACTTCAGCTGTCCTGGGCAGCATGCTCACTGTCCTCAGAAGTGAGCTTCACTAAAGGTAAGCCAGGCATTTGGTCAGTTCAAGGCATTTAGCCCAATGCATTGTCCCTTGCCTTGACCCAGAAGTTCACCTGCAAGCTATACATTTGAACACGAAGCATCCATTTATTAGGTGCAGTAAAAAAAAGAAGGGCATGCCACACATGCTACACTGCCAGTCCAAACCCAAGAACAATTCAAGGTCCAGATTCTTCTAGTCAGTCTCATAGCCCAGAACCAAACTCCTTCATTGTTGACTCCCCTGCACAGCAGTTACGTGCCAAAGAACTGCAATAGCTAACAGTGTTGGGTCAAGCTTACAAAACTGGCCAGGGCTTGTCAGTGTCTCAGTTTGTTCCAGTGAATCTATCTACAAGCTGTATGGCGAAAAGGATCCATCCAATTTCTGGACCCATGGGGAGCCCCACGGATCAGAAAGTGTGGGCCTGTGTGTTGGATTGAGTGGGCCCAATTCTGGTGTGTGGGGGGGCAGCAGAGATGGCATTGAGCCCTGGGGTTCAATACCAGCATGTGGGAGCCAGGCAGAGGTGGTGCAGAGGCCCAGGGCCAGATCCTGGTTCACAGAGCCAGGTGGATGCAATGCCAGGTGGAAAGAGCATAAGGGCCCAATCCAACTCTCAGACCAGACCCACACCCCTTATCTGGTCTGCAGGGCCATGAGGTCGAGCACTGATGCTCTAGATACTCAGAGCCACACCCCCTGAATGGACATTCTTAACCTAAAATAGCTTAAGATAACCAAACAAAAGGTGCTATTAGTTCAGACTAAGAGTGTACACATAGGGGAGTTAGTGCAGAGTCAACAGACTGGATGGGTATGTTCCTTGTGGTGTGGCTACTCTTGGAGTCCTTCGTCCTCTTATCTCTCTGAATAGATATGCTTTCCTTCATAGTTATTTCACATATCAGCTTACAGGCCAGATTCAAAGCAAGTGGCTCTTACCGGGTAGATGTGCCAGGCAGGGGGCGCCCTGTATCCACCAGAACACACCAACAATACCCAGTGGATTGGTGACACTGCACTGGTTTGTACAGCCCTCCAGGAGCACACTCTGGGATGACGATGCCCTCACGGGGGTTCTGCCTGGCCTCCTCCAGGGCACTCTGTCTCTCCTGGTCACATGAGTGAACTTTCTCTGGAAGAGAAAAAAACAAAACTTCATCCTCCATAACAGTGGTTCTCAAACTTTTTTGTTCCATGACTCATGTGTGAGCGTTGATGGTCAGTTCCAACCCAATATCTTCACTCCCAACCCGCTGCCTCCCACCCCCAGGCCCCTGCCCCACCTGTGTGTGGGTGATGGGGAGAATGGGGGCCCAAAGCAGCCCCTTGCAGGCTGGAATTCTGCCAGCCTGCAAGTTTCCCACATTGTTCTCCTTTTAAAAAGAATCCATTTTTTAAGTTTGTCCACAACCCTTTCATATATTCCTGTGACCCACTTTTGGGTCATGACCCACGGGTTGAAAAACACTGCTCCATAACACCCATGGCTTCAAGGCAATTCTCAGACCTGAGCATTCCTGATGTTAGCCAGGCCTTGGAAACCTATTGCTTCCCCAGTCAACTCTGCTACCTAAAAGTAATAGCCTAACATACAAAGGGCTCTGTATTGGAATCTGGCTGGAATGCTGCATCCTAGTGCAGGTACTCCTCACTTAACGTCGTCCTGGTTAGCGTTGTTTCGTTATTACATCGCTGATCTATTAGAAAACATACTTGTTTAAAGTCGCGCAATGTTCAGTTACAACATTGTTTGGCTGCCGCCTGCTAGTAGGTAACTACTGTGATGAAACTGGATTTGCTTAACATAGTTTCGCTTAAAGTCGCATTTTTCAAAAACGTAACCATGATGTTAAGCGAGGAGTAGCTGTAATGGTAAAGTCATTCCAAGGGCTTACAGATTCGGGGTGCCATCTGCTGGCTGCTACTTTTGTAGGAAGCTGAAGTCACAAGAGGAACAGCTACTTTGCATCACATTCCTGTTCTCCAAACAAGCAGAATTGCCAACAGATACAATACGGGTGTTACTGCAATCTTGAGCTAAATATTCCTATAAATGTTGTTTGCATTTGCTGCCATTTATTCTTTCGTCATTATGTCTGAGCTTTCTCATAGAAGAAGCGATGAAGATCCTCAACTGTTTCCTTCCTTGGGGTAACTAGTGAGAAATAAAAAACCTGGTTCCCATCTCCCAGCTTCAGAATGCCCTGGAGTAACAAGTTATTTTCCAATATCTCCTTGTGAGGCAGAGTTCACATACACACTTAACCCCATTCATTAGGGCAACAGAAGAGTACTGCCATCTCCTGCAGCAAGAAAAGGGCGCTGTATTGCTCCTCTACTCCCCAGCGTCTCATAGGAAACAGAGGATAACAAACCTTCCTCTTCCCCGCACATTATGCCTGGAAGATCAAAGAAAGGACCTTGTTCCTCCATATTCTAAAATACAGAAAAGGGTCTTCCTGTTGGCATCAGCCACTACTCCATAGATAAGAGTGGAACCAGAAACTACAGACACCTCAGAATCTGAAACTTTTGGTATCAAGATACAAGTGCCTACCACTTGAGTTAAGGGAGAGACCCACTTAGCCAGTAGCAGTAGTAGGCTGCTGTCCTTTATAGTGATCTTACAGGGATCATCCACTAAAAGGGGAACATTTACACATGTATTATATCAATTTAATATTAACACTTAGCAATTCTCTGTTAGATGTCTTCAAAACACCTCTTGCCATTCATCTGAGGGACAAAAATACCATTTCAAATTCTCCAATCACCTAAAGAACTCGGGGGGGGAGGGGGGAGTAGAAAAATTTGATATAACTGGGATAAAAAGGGAGGACAAAAACCCAATAAACTTTCTTGATCTTTAACTATATCATAACACTGAAAATAAAAAAAAAATGGGGAAAAAATGTCCCTTTCCCTTTCAAACTACCCTCACAATTGTTTTTAACAGGTCATACTGCCTGAAATGCATTCTCATGTCCGGAGGCCACTTCAGGTTTTAGGTTCAGAAAGTAACTCAGAGCCATGAGCTGAAGACTCCATGGGTTCAGCTTGAAACTGCAGACATTTTGATAGTCACTTGGGAGACCTTATTTGGCAGTACATAACCATCTGATCTTTGGGGAAAGGATGTCCAATACAGAAACATTTCCCTACCCATCCTTCTGATCAACATTACCTCTTTGCCTCATACTCTCAAATCTGTTTTCTTGGCACCCCCCCCTGCATCTTTCCCCCAAATATTGTGATTATAAGTTGTTTGCACCAGGTATCAGCTTTTGTTCAGTGCCTAAAACAGTGGGGTTCTGGTCCATGACAAGGGCTTGGAGGTACTATGCACGCCCAGATGCTAAAAACAATAAATGTTGGCAGCTCTAAACAGAGTTACTTGGGCATCAATAGCTTCTAGTGCCCAAGGCCAACTGACCTATGATTTCTAACTGTACCATGCCAGACAGAGAAAGTTGTTTCGGAAGACCCTAGGATGGGGTCCATCCACAAACACTTCAGACCTTCCTCCCTCAGGGTTGTGAATGCAAAGAACACTTGAACTTTATCAGGCACAATTCCACACAACTCAAGTTTATAATACAAGCTTTAACTGCATGTAAGGCCAGCACAAGCAGAGAGAAACTTGATCAGGATGGGGAAGGGGCAGGGGGGGGGGGAATGAAAATCAACAAAACTGAAACAGCTCAAGCCTCAGCTGATATTTAAGCTGACTTCACTTTGCTGACAGATGTCACATCTTAAAAAAAAAAAAAATTGTGACTGCTCCTGAGCCATATGAAGACAGAGAAGTCATTCAGTAAGAAGCCTGTGGGCTTTTTAATAAATCAATTACATCACAAAGGTCCAGCTTACTTAAAATCCCTGCCTGACAGCAATTTACACCTTGGCCATCAGGTGAGGTGGGTCAGTTATCCAGCTCAATGAAACAAAAAAAGGCAGCCAAAATTTGCTGTCTACGATCACTCCATTTTCATTTAATTAATTTTATACAATAAGCAAAAGGGGAAAAAAGCCTTCATCGAAGTAAACTGCATTCCAGGCATTTTTCTATCTAAATCCCCAAAGCTTCCTCAGTACACACATTCAAACCAGGCTCTCTGGAGTCCTTTGAGTCTTGCAAAACTGACATTAAAAATGGCTTTGGAAAAAAAACTCAAAGCTTTTTTGGACAAAGACAACAAAACAAGCAACTTGGTAGAAAATACTGTTTTCTTTTTCAATAAAAAAGTGAAAATGTCTTTTAACAAGTCTCAGTCTTATTCTACACATACATACAGTACAGGGTGTCTATACACAGTATGCATACTTATACACAGAGGCATATATGATGTTTGTACTATATCATCATCATTTAAAAATGTTTCTCTGTGCATACTGTAACCAGAAATGGGGAGGAATTGCTCCTCCACGGGATTTCTCAATGAAATCCAGAAACAACTGGTAGTCACTTCTACCTGATGGATATTTAAAGACATACACAAAATGAATTTAAAAGCCTTTCTTTAGTTCACAGCAAATAGATATCCACATCTCTCTCTCTCTCGATATATGCACCTTGTAGACTAACTAAATAAGATATCTATATATTTATATCCATATCTCCACACACACACACACACACACACACACACACACGAGTCATCATTTGTTTATAGACAGATAGATATCAGTTGAACTGCATGTTTTTTTGATATATTTACATTTTTAAGCAATTTGAAGGCCCATGTGTGCCTCAAATATTATAAAATAAATTCTAAATACCTGGCATTTGATTTTGGGTTTTTATCACAGAAAATCAGAGCTTCCCCGTCCCCTTTGCTCACCAGGATACGGGTCCAACTGTGGTTGTCTTCCCCCCCACCAGCTGCTTTGTGGTGCTGAGAAGCCCTGCTATGCCAGTACCCTGCCCCTGCCTATGCTGTTGCCACTCACTCCAGACCCACAGCCCCCATACCCCTCTCCCAGCTCTGCTGGTGTCCCTCACTCTCAAACCACCACCCCCTGGCCCTGCTGGTGCCCCTCACTCCCAATCCACTACCCCCTGCCCCTAGATTCCAGCCCCCCAATGCATGGGGAATGGGGTGGGTGTGTGGGGAAGGGGAGGTATGGGAGGAGGGGGGGGTGGGCATAAGCAACACATGGGGAGAGGTGGGGGGCACAGTCGACAGGTCAGGGGTGGGGCACAGGTAATGTGTTGGGAGGCGGCATGTGCCCCCCCCAGATTTCTGTGCCCACAGCAGGGTGCAGGGCTGCAGCCCAGCTAGGCTAGACAAGGTTTGCCCTGTCTACATTTTACCACACCATGGATTCATACACATGAACTGAACCCCTCCTGACCACACCACAGCTGTGTATCCAAACTTATTTGCTGACCAATAGTAGCATTTTGTTTCTAATAAATACATTTCTGTGTTTGGTTGTTAGTACCTTTATTATACGTTAATGGAATTTGTATGACACTAAACTGAGAATAGTGGCCAATACTTGCAAGGATAGATAAACTGACTTAGAAGTATCTGGTACTATGCAGTTGCACAGTATAACTGAACAAACAGTGTCTAGACTTGGCGGGGAAAGAGGGAAGTAGAAGATAAAATATGAATCAAACATATAGGGAAAATGATCCAAAACACAGACATGCAACAGGAAGGAGGTCCTTGGAGGGAAGCATTACTGAACTGGTGAGGTGATATGGGGTAGCAAATTTTTGCACTGTAATAGATCAGCAAAGAAGCCAATGATATTTGGAGTTGGACATGCAGATGGAATCATGTCATGAGCAGCAAACCACCTAAAACCTAGAAAAGACTAACTCAATACCTTCGACCTAATTCATTTTAGACAAGCTGTAGGTAGGACCTACTGGGAGCATTTATGCAAGATGCTATGTTACCGTAGCTCGTCACTACGGCGACATAGCATCAGCGGGCACAAACCATGATGCCAATGCTACTGCATGGTAGCAATGCATTACGTCACTGTAGCTCATTGCTATGGAGACATAGCGTCTAAAAATAACCGTGCGCCACTGGGACTGCACAGTACCAAATGCATGGTCAGGGGCATGTGTAGACACACCCACTGTTTCTACTTTCTAAGCACCTTAGTGCCAGA